AGCTTCATGGAAGCTAAAGTTGATGGAAATGGAAAGGGAAGAAAAAGGACAGCGTGAGCAAAGACAATGGCTGCAGGGAGAAACAGAATGTGAGCCATTTATTCTTTCAAATGTTTACTGAATGCCTGCTCTGTCCCAGGCCAGGGAGGCTAAAAGCTTGGGGTGCAAGAGAGAGCGTATGTGTAATTCAAACCAACAGACAACAACCCCGTGAGACCGGTACTGTTCTCCCCACTGCAGAGATGAGGAAATCGAGGCTTTACAATGAGCATGCAATCTGTCCAAGGACACAGAGCTCATAAATAGCATAAATCTAGTTTTAGGTGTGTTTTATTACAGCCAGGCTTTCAAGAACACTGTTGTTTGTTTGTTTCTTAACAGCATGGTTAAAGCTCAGAGGATACGGGGAAAACCCATTCAGTCCCTATTCCGCAATTGAAGTGGAAAAAAAATCATGAACATTTCTTACTCTCCTTTTATGAATTTTTTTCTGCCCTGGAGGATAAATATGTGGGAGTCATGAGTTCTGACTTATAAACGTCCAGGGGCCTTTTGGAACAATTACTAGCATGACAAGATCAGGCTCTGGAAACAGCCCAGTTATACCAATTGGCAACCGATTAAGTCCATCCACTTCAGAATGTGCTCGGATAGCAAGGGGAGCAGATCCAGTGAGTGGCCATCTGAGAAAGGTCAGTCGGGTTCCCTCCAAAAACGTTTCATAAAGACAAAGCCAGATTCAGGATTTGTGTGGAAAATGTTAAATACACTCTGTGCTGGAAAACTCAAAGACTCCCTAACGGCTGACAGCCTGCAGGAGACTATTCAGTAAATGACAAATCTTCCAAGAAGCTGAGCTGAATGATTCAGAAGTTGTCTAAAGTCAGCACTTGAATCCTCCAGGTTCCCTATCTCTGGCCAAGTTAATGCAGGTTCCTCCCTGGTTAAAAAACTCTTCTGAAAGTAGGGAAGCTTTCAGCCCACGAGGTATATTTCTAAACACAAACATACATACAAGCAAACACTGTTGACAAAGAACAAAATACTTGCTTCTTCTTCTGAGACTAACCACATGCCCTCAGGTAAAAGAGGAAAAAAGTTTTATTTTTTTTTTAGGGTCATTGAAAAGTCATTTGGGTCTATAGTAATTCTTCCTTTGCCACATACTTTAAACTTCTACTTTTCAAACAAGAGGTGTTTCTTGTGGGCTTATTAAAAAGCTACAAGTCTCTAATCAGAAATAACATAAATTTTCTCCATTATTAAATAGGAAATTAGTTTTTCCTTTTAAATTTGATTTCTTTTTTAATCCTTTAATTAGAATACAGTTCTAAAGCTTGCAGTTATACAAATCTATTTTTGTGTTCCTTTTGGAGAGACAAATATGACATTTTATGGTGATTATCATGGCACCTCACATAAAAGGGTCATTACTGTATTTGGAATGTCTAAGGTAGGCAGGCAGGCCTGGGATTATCTCCCAAAGGGTACCCCTTCCTCTACCCCCCAGAAACTGGCATTACTTATGCTATCTTGGGGGAAAAAAATAACAAAGAGAAATACTCTTCCTAAAATACTTTTAAATGTGTATTTTCATAAAATGAAGGGGAATAAGTTTATTGCAAAACTTGTCTACAGTTGAAGATGTGATCTGAATTCCAGTTTGACCTGGAGGCTCTTTAATCAGGGGGCTGACTGGGGGATGATTTCAGCCAAAGTGGATCCTGAGATCATTTCTGTCTTTCCCTTTTTCCACAAGTAACATTAGGGTTTCCCAATGCTTTAACATTTCCTTGGAGATGGCTAAGTAACAGAGTTCAGCCACAGAAGCATATAACACAGTCTTCTCTCCTACATTCAGTGAATCTGTTCCCGCTGGCCTCTCACGCTGGCATCCACTCCAACTTATTAGGACTGACAAGCGTACAAAACTTGGACTAGAGAAAAATATTAAAAATATAACTTAAACATTTACTTTTAGGGCAGCAAAGAGAGATGGAAACTTCTACCTTATTCCAAAAAGTTGAGATGTTCACGGTCTCTTACAGTAACCAAAGCTGCGAATAGGCTAGTATTCCAGGGAGTGTGGGAGAAACGTTTGAGATCATCCCAAAGTGCAAGGAATGCTTACCCTGCTGAAACGGAAGGCAGCTCTATCTCCACTGGCCTATGAAAATCAAGGCTACGTCCGACCACCTCCAAGTATCCCTTCCAAGTTTCAGCTTTTGTTTTTCTGAGATATTTGACTTTTCCAGACAAACTGAAAACGAGTGGCAGAGAGACCTCTGTTACTATATAATACAGCCCTATGGTAGGGTATAGTCTCCATCTCTTAAATGCATAACTTACTGGGGATGACTTCCCATAGGCTGGAAGAAACAACAAATACATCTGTGAAGATGGGCCTCATACCCTGTACTTACATGCACTCCCCTGACCATGGAAATTCTGACCCGCCAGAAAGACAGCTAATTCTGAGGCTGGCGGTTCCCATCTCCCAATCCAGCTCCCTAGGGCTGGTCCTACTTCAGTGGTTCCTAGTGGTGTCCTCTGACCAGCAGCACCAGCAGCACTGGGGGGGGGGGGGGGGGGACTTGTTAGAAATGCACATTCTCAGGGCCCCCACCCCAGACCTACTGAATCAGAGACTCTGGGGATGGGGCCCAGCTCCCCAGATGACTGATGCCCTCAAGATTGAGAAGCATAGTTGCACAGCAGTTAACTATCAGACCACCAGTGTTTCTACACCCAGGGCCTGCAGATGGCAGTAAAGTCCAGCTAGAAGAATTACAGGCACTAGAAGCTCAAGTTCTAAGACCTACAGAACCAGCCTGCCTGACCACACTGTTCTTTAACAGTTCCTTAACAGCTGGCTCAGCCTCCTCCAATGAGTTGGAAGGTCACAATTCAACTCAGCTGTGAACAGGAACTAGACTGAAATTCTTCTCGCCGCCTGACAGTAGACATATTAAACCAACAGTTATCAGAGATGCGATCAATATTAAATGATCTTAAAGGTTTTTGTGTTTAATACGGTGAGGATACAGACATACTTTAAGAATGAAAATTTCAATACTGATTAAATAGAACAAGATAAGAAATTCAAATTATTCTCAGCCATTGTGTGTATCTGAATAAAAATAATGCGCTTGATTCTGAATGAGTTCCCACCGTTAAAATCTCATTGAATTGATGTGACAACAGTGAGAAGAGATGTTTTCTACTGTAAAGCATGTATCAGGTAGCCCTTTACTAGATTTTGTGAAAACCCTGAATTTTGCACTAACTTTTCCTATACAAACTACAAACATCTCTAGTGAGGATATGGAGCAACGGGAACTCTCACAAACAGCTGGGAGTATATATCAGTACAAGCACTTTGGAAAACCGTTGAGCAGAGTCTACCAAAGCTGACCATACAATATCCAGGACCGGCAATTCCACTCCTGGGTCTATACTGCAGAGAAATGAGCGCTTCCATCTACCAAAAGCCTCATAAAAGAGTGTTCTTAGAAGTGTAACTCGTAATAGTTACAAACGGGAAATAATCCGAACATCCACCCACAGTAGTGGAGATAAATATTATGAGTATGCATACAATAAAATACACCCAGCAAAGAAAACACAAACCAACCAACAAACGAGACTACTGCTCCACAGAATATGGGTGGACCTCAGCTGAGTAAACGACGCCAGGTACAAAGTTAACACACACTTATCCAAACAGGCAGAACAAATTTCTGGTGACAGAGGTCAGCATAGAGGTTACTGAGGCTATCTACCAACAGGCAAGAGGAGCTCACTGGAAAAGTTCTAGGTCTTGACCTGGGGAATGGTTACAGGGGTGTATACATATGAAAAGTTCATTGAGTTGCACACTTAAACTGGTACACGTTATGTATGGTACACTTCTTTATAAAGGGACGAAAAGTTAAACATGCACAACATAGTCTTGACAGGTGGTCATGTAACTATTTTCAATATCCATCATAAAAATCTAGGTTACTGGGGGACTATATAGTTATCAGAGTATCATTTACTGCAAAAATACTGTATTTGCTAAGCTAAATATCAAAGTTACATAAAGAAAACAATCGGTTTTCCTTATAGCCAATGTTATGCCGTCAAATCAATGTTTCATCCTATGAAAAGGCCAAACCTTTCTGTCTTGCACTCCCTGGTTCTAAACTCCATTTACTCTGCCATCTTATGCCATCATAGGTGGCAACTGATGTCCATCATCCCAAGCCCCAGCAGACCCTGGATGTGGTCATCATCCCGGGGGAGGCTGAAAATACTGGCTCCAGCATTCCTGTCATTAGCTACTTGCCTGAACCTCTCTGAACCACCCCTGTCCTAACCCCTGCCACCATCCAGCTCCCCTCCTGCCTCACAAACCAAGGCCTGTCCCAGGGCTGGGATCCTGTTAAGACAGCGCAGCCTCCAGGCCAATGTGGACCTACTGGATCCTAGGTTCCGATCCAGTAGGACTCAGCCGCCAAGCCAGCTGTCGAGTGGGGGATTCCTAATTACACCCCAAGAGCAGACACCTCCAGGACTCGGGGCCCTGAACCCGCACTGCTTTCCCCCCACCTGGGCCGCTCCCTCCAGCCCACCCGATGGATCCACAAAGGACCAGAACGGGGAAAATCCGCTTGGTCGGTTTCTGCGCTTCCTGCTGAGGTTTTGAAAAGCGGAGCTGCTGGCACTCGTAACCAAGATGAGGAACCACGTGTTCCGCGAGGCACTCGGGTCCCGCCCGCGCGGCCGAGGGGCGCGCAGGGCCTGTTCCGGCTGCGCCTCGGCTCTGCGCTGACCCGTGAACACTCTGGGGTGCGCGCTCAGGGGCCGCGGGCCAGAGGGGGCGCGCCCCGCCGCCGCCGAGAACCCGCCCGGGAGCCGCCCCAGCCGCTGTTTGGCGCGCTCTAGCGCCGGGCCGCCCGGGGCCGGAGGCCCGGCCTTGGCCGGGCGCGCCGCCGTCCCGGGACAGGCGTGTTTACCTGGGACTAGGAACACGTGCTGCCGGGCGCTAGCCCCTTCTCCGCAGTCCACGCCTGCCGCCATGCCGCCCGTTCGGTTCCGGCGGCCGCAGGCCTCTGAGCCCTGGGAGGGCGGGCTCAGCGAGAGCCCGGTGGCAAATGGCGGGAGAAGGGTCGATTCCGGGGAGCGCGGCGCGCGGAGGGACTGGCAGGGCCCGGAGGGCGGCCAGCGGGGCGAATTTCGTTTCGTTTCCGGAGCCCGCCAGCGGTCCCGGTTAAGCTTTTAAACTGAGCGCCAGGCCCAGGCCGCCGGCCCACTGGCGCGTCGCCCGCCGGCGCGGAAGGGTCACGGCCTCTCCCCTCCGCGGCTCGGCCAATGGTAGGTGCTCACCCGCGGCGCCCAGTGACGCGGCGCGGGGGGCGGCGACCCAGGTTGGCGGCGGCGGCGGCGGCGGCGGGCGGCGGGCGGCGGGCGGCGGGCGGGGTGGCCTCAGTCTCGGGGCGCCTGGTCACCGCGCCCAGCGGCCCTCCGCCCAGGGACTCCCCACCCTGCGGAGAGCGGGCCGAGGCCGAGTCTCTGCGGAGAGGGGCTCCCGGAGGGATGACGCCTACCACCTCTGAGGGCTGGCGGACTCGCGCACACCTAGCGGGAGGAAAAGCGTGGAGCAAATCCACGTTAAGGACAACAGCTATCACATCGGAATCCTAATGCCACCGTTCCTTGTCAACGTTTCTTTGTATCATTTGCATTCTGCGTTGGAATTAATGTCAGAATCTGGTGTGCTTTGTGATTCATAACAAAATGCATGTAAAGCGGTCCTCAAATTGGGGTTAGTCCTCATTACTAAAAAGAGGGGCACAGTTTGAGGCTCAAAACGTGCATTTGTTGTTTTGGAAGACATTGATTTGTAATGAGTTAAAAATTAAGACTTTTAAAAGCGATGTTCAAAAAGTTAAGAGTCATTTAAACTTTTAAAAATAAAATTTTAATAGTCCATGGTTTTAGAAAAGAAGATAATAAATATTTGTCTCATACTTCAGAATAGTATGACTCCCTGCTACCCCAGATCCCCAGTCCCCCTCCCCAGGGGCAATCACTGTTAACAGTTTCTTGTCTGTTCTTCAGAATTTTTCCATTCAAAAACAAGTTTATGTGTCTTTTTTTTTTTTTTTTTGCACAAATGGAAGAGAATATACATAACTCTTAATGCACTTAACTTTTTTTGCTTAATCTTGAAGGGAGTTAAATTGTGCAGCACTAGATCTATCTCAGCCTTCTGAAAAGATTTTTTTATTTCAGTCCTGTTTCCCATGAGGGGAGACAAATGCAGCTCAAGTTGACTGCAGGACACACCTGGCAGAGAGGAAGCCTTTCTGGTTGAGGAGGGGGACCCAGATGCTAACTCTGGGGCAGGCAGCAGATTGGTATTGCTCTAGAGCTGTTTTCATCGTTTTCTGATCCTTTCCAGCCGTTGGCTGTTTGAACATGTGTTTTTATGTGGTTGTTTTCACAATGCAAAGACAGTTTTGTCTGCTTTTGTACCTTAACATTGCCATGAACACATTTCCCATGGCATCCAGAACTGTCATTGAAGACATGCTATTTCACATTGCTAATGTACCAAGGTTACTTGACCAATCCTTAGTGTACAATATTTAGATTATTTCAAAATGTTATTCTAAAAAATGCTACAACGTATACTATATATGGACTATGCAGCAGTTTGAAGCAATGAACTAGAGGTACCCGCAATGAACTAGATGCACACGTTGCAGCATGGATGCTTTATATCGAGAGGGAAACAAAGAAGTAGGAAGAGATTTATGGCAGAAAACCATGTAGGTAAATTAAAAACACACATAAAACAACATTATATCTTTTAGAAGGATATATGCACATTTAAGGCCATGTATCACGTAAGAAATGGGTGCCTTTAAAAGGGAGGGGAATGGGATTGGGGATGGATAAGGAATGAGAAGGCAAGAAAAATCAAAAGGGGCCAGGGTGCACGTGGATGACTGTCACTATGTCCTATGAATGAGAGTATAATACATTCTCTGACATTTAGGTCCAAGGATGAAAACTTTTTTTAAAAAAATGTGCTGCAACAAACATCTCTAAGCAATTTCATTTATTCACTTAAAAAAATTATTTAAGTACCTTCTTGGAAGGAGGACCAGTGGTGATGTTGGAGACTGGCTCAAGATTCCTATTGTCTTCAGGGTAAAGTCTAAGGTACTAAGCTTGGAACACATGGCCTGTGAGATCTGGTTCTCACTTGCCCCTCCAGCCACAGTTTCTACCGTCTCCCTCCCTCCCCACCTTGACCACAGTCTGGCCGTGAGGAACTGCCCCCTCTGTCACATCCAGCACTTGACACTGTGTTCCTAATGTCGGAACCACGCTCCTCTCAACTAGCCTCATTCCTCTGCCTTTTCTCTCACCATCTACTTCGCCTAGACAACATTTCATCATATATCAGGCTCACTGAGACAAAACCTTCTCATTGCACTCCACTTCCTGTCTCCAAACATCCTCCCCATGAATGAGATGCCTCCAGTCTTCTCAGTTACCTCACTAAGGGGTGAGCCTGATTTTCAGTCAGTTCCTTGAGGAAGGACAGCATCTAATAATTCACCAGTTTATCCTCAAAAAATAATGATGCCTTTCACTGCATACCAACTGTGACAAGTACTGCGCTGAACATGTTACTCTGACTCTTTCAGTCCTCCCAAAAGTCTTAAGGGGAAGTATCAGCATGATCCCCACGTTTTACAGAGGAAGAATGTAAAGTTTAGAGAGATCAACTAATTACCCAACACACACAACCAGCAAGTGGCAGAGCAGGAATTCCAACCCAGAAATTGTGCTCTTAACCTTCCCTCCCTTCTTCCCTAGTGTCCCAATGCCTAGGACAAAGCTGTATGGGCACATAGCATATGCTCCACAAATATTTTTGAATAAACATGTATGTGGATAGATAGGCAGTTATGGTAATAGTCAGTGTAGCCTGTGCCATTCCTAAGTTTTATAAACAAGAACAAAGTGATTACATCTAGTATATCATAAAATATTCCATAAATTAATTTTTATACTAGTTATACTAACACGCAAAGAGACAAGCAGGTCGTTCTTCAAGGAATAAGAAGGGAACAGCAACATTAATACCTCTGAGTAGAGAAACATAGAAACTCTTCTAAATGCCAGAAATAAGAAACGTTCATTTTCTAGTGGAAAAATAAAAGGAACTGGGGAAAATTTTTAAAAACAGTTCAGAATCCAGTGACCTCTACCAGTGCTTAGTGGTGACCAGAACAGAGAGAGCTTGAACTAAGGGTAGTGATTTTTTTTTCTCTAATAGATTATTAAACACTTATGAGAATTCTTCCTTCAAAACAAAATAAGAATGAAAATCCATGTTTATCATCACTTTCATCCTAAGAAAGAATTGTTGCCTTGTGTTTTGTCTTGTTGCCAAATGCTCATCTAGGGACAACAGGGAAGGCAACACAGTACTGGAGAATCATATGGGGAGGAGAAAGGCATCAGCTCTCAAAAGGGCCAACTATTTAGAAAAGAGACCAAGCAGTAGTACTGAACCATTCTTTCTGGGGAGAATATTTCCTTTATATTCACTCTCTTATCCAACCCAACCCAAAACGGGATCCTACTTGTTGCAAAAGGTTGCATAATTTGTATGCAAATACCCACATATAAAACTGTGAGATCTGCCAGTTATAGAACAACAAGAATGACTGAAGCTATTGAGAAAGAAAGAAGAGCAGCCCCAGACATTCAGAAGCTGGCCTGGGGCTCCCAGCTGGATCATGGTGACTCTCCCAGTATCTTAAACAAATCTCCCAGAACACCCGCCTCAGACAAGGCTGTCCTGAGACCACAATAAAATGAGGACAGAGCAAGGCCACTTCATGATTTGGGCAAAGCACAGACAAAAACAGGTCACTCTGCCACCTACAAAATACTGAACACTTCATCTGTTAGCTGAAATGAGTGACTGCTACTTCTTTACTAATTCCAGCTTCATCCTCACCCCAGCTCCCCCCTCCCTGTAGAGGAGATTTATTGGGACACCACTTTCTAACAGCACCCAAACTAGAGTGGATCCCTGCATCCTTAGACCCTCCCCAAGTCACCCAACCAGAGCCCAACCCTCCAAAGCTTCCTCCCAACATCCTCCATCTAGTAAGATGCCCCTGACTTCCCATGGCCTGTGTTCTCCCGTTCAGCTGCAGGGGTGTTCCTGGTGGTCTTGGGCTAAACTTGGGGTTGCCACTGTGTTTACTCATTTCCCTGTGTGTATGTGTGTGTGTGTGTACAGTTATAAACCTTACATACATTCACATAAAATTAAGGTAGTAAGAAAATTCAGGCAATTCAAGCTCCAAAATGTACTTTTGCAACTGAACTACCTATAGGGCTAGGCCACCATGGTCAAGTGAATCAGATAGTCAGATAATTACATGTTTTGCTGCATGACAGCCTAAGCAATCACCATACACTTCAGAAAATTTCAATAGCTTGATGTCCTAGTTATTCTCACTTTGCTTTTATATGTGCTTTTAATATTTTCTGCAGTGCAGAGTTTTTGAGACATGTTTTTTACGCTATGAGTTACCTAACAAGTTAACGAATGGAGAAATGCCAAAATGCTGGCTATTTTTCATTTATTTTATTATTATTTTTTTAAACATACTGACTTCTTTTTTTTTCCTGTTTACAAAATCCATCATAGTTTTTATTTTTTTAATTAAAAAATTTTTTTCATTTAAATATTAATTTTCAAAAGCAGGGTACAAACTTGTATAGAGAATATGATTACAACTAAGAAGAATAATAAAAATAAAAGATTGGTGACTAACATCTAACCATAGTTGTCCTTTAATCATTTCTTTCTACTTTGATATATTTTCCAAAATTGTTCAGTTAATATTTTTAATTTGATAATATTAATATCAAATTAATTAATTAATATCAAATATTAATTTCTAGGTTGTTTTTGTTTTTTACTCTGTTTTTTTTTTGTTTTTTACTCTGTTTTTGTTTTTTACTCTGTGCTTCCTCCTAGGTGCTAAAACAATAATATTCTGGTTCTCTTTTTGGTAAGTCCTGATTGCTTTTACTAATAATTTCATAATTAAGCGACTTAAAAGATACACATTCATTTATAACGTCAAAACAGTACATTGCTGCTGTTCTCTGCCTACAAGTAAAATACTCTTCAAATAGTAATAAGATATTTTATTAACTAATTCTGTTGAACTAGCTGAAAATAGGAACTGCAACTGCTAAATATAGCTGATCTGTTGCAAAAGATTAACAATTTTTCTGGTAATGTGAATTCCACCCCATGTTTTGTTCAACAGCAAAAATAAGTAATGAGTGACTATTTCAAGAGGAACTGCTGCACCTTCTACAGAATAATAGTCAATTTCATGTTGACTTTTGTAATTACAGTGACCATGTGACATTCCTGAAAACTCAGTCTTCCTTCATTAGTTTATTAAATATTCCTATTTTTTAAGAACTTAATAAAACGATTGTCCTTTAAAAGTACGTACAAACTTCAATTTTTAGAAGTTTTTGATAAAAGGCAGGAAATAACCTAATAATGAAATAATAATCTCCTGGTTGTTACTTTGTATTTGGTGCTTGGTACCTCTCATTCTCTCTCTCTCTCCACTTGGGCCAATCTAAATTAATTCTACAATATTACTGACACCTACTCTGTGCCAGACACTGTTTTGGTTGCTTGGGCTATATCAGTAAATAAAACATATAAAAATGCCTACCCTCCTGGGGTTTACATCTAGTAGAGGGAGACAGAGAAGCTATATACATAATAAACACATTCTATAGTGCAGTAGAAGAGGGCCAGTAGAGTGTAGGGAAGAAATACAACAGGGCAAGTGGGCTTGTGAGAACTAAGAGGGTTGCAGTTTTAAATAAAGCAATCAGGGTGGGCCTCATTAAGAGGGTAACATTTGAGCAAAGACTTGAAGGAAGAAAGGGAGTTAGGCATGCATATATCTGAGGGAAGGGTGTTCAGGCACAGGGAACAGCCAGTGCAAAGGCTCCAGACTGCAGCTTTTATGGCACATTCGAGGACAGCAAAGGAGGCTGCGTGGCTTGAATGGGGTGAGCAAGGGGAAGAGGTAGCAGGAGATGAGTTTGGAGAAGTGAGAACCTTACATGCCATGGGAGGGGGTAAAATGGGATTCCCCAGAGGGCTGACCAAGGAGTGCTAAAAGAGTGTAATAAAGCATAAGAAAAGGGAAAAAGGTAGAACAACCAAGCATAGTTGCAACTAAAAACATGAAAGAAGCCCAGTGTCGCTCAAAAGCTTTCCACTGTAATCCACAGTAAGAAATATACTTTACAGCATCACCCAAAAGACACACATACAAATAAAACAGAAGCTTCACAAACCAATACTTACACACATTATGTTCAATGTACTCTAATTGTAGGCTATTAGATTTCTTTTCTTTATTCAATGCTGATAACATTTACTAAGTTGATTTCACAACCTAGTAATGGGTTGTGATGTACCGTTAAAAGAGCACTGCTAATCAGTAATATGATCATTTTGGCTACACCCTAACATGTGGATGACATAATCAACATCATTGTCAACTCTGAGTGAGCTTTGGCTAAACATACATAAGGCCTAATGACTTTAAACAGGGAACCACCATTAGCTCATTAATCAAAAGCCAATGTATATACAAGATACTCTGCTTTCATGACAGCTGTCGTCATATAAAAATATTGTGTGGGCTAAGTCACTATTAGGAAATGTAAAACATGTGAAATTCGGGTACATCATTTCTGACAGGCAGCCAATATTTATGGTAGTTGACTAAAGAGACTTTACTTCAAATAAACAAATGTTTAATGTTTCCGTAGAAGGGTAGACATGACCCTAATTAGTAAATTTGCTAATAGATTTCTGTTCATTATCTCCAGACCAATCTTTAGATATATTTGTTTTAGAAAACAGTGCAAATTTTAGAACTCGATCTCAAAATGTTTTGAGAGTTTCTCAAAATGTTTGAGAACAGCTTGGTTTTATGAGTATATAAGCACTGGTACTTTTCAGAACTGTTAAATTGTCCTTTCAAAACGCAAAATTTGTTTTCAACTAGGTTATACTTTTAAATATATTTTTTTGCCACTGCAAAAAGTTCTTAGATTTGCCATTGCATAGGTTCAAGTTTTATTGTACCCTGGAAATATCCCCTCCAATCCAACCCACTTACCACACAGCAAGTGTCCAATTTTTCCCACAGTGTTATCCAAAGGATCTTTCTGCAATGATGGAAATGCTCTATATCTGTGCTCTCTGTTAAGGTAGCTGCTAGCCACTTGTGGCTTTTAAGCACTTGAAATGTGGATGATGTGAAAACCTGAACAAGTCACTGCCTTGCTTAAACCCCTTTATTTCCAGCAATGTTGGAAATTCCAACAATTTCCAACAAATAAAATTTAAAATCCTCAACTTGGCATTCAACACCAAGATGAGCTGACCCCTGCCCACCACTAGGTCACCGTGACCCCAGCCTCTCAGGTCTTCTTTCTGCCTCTGCAACATGCCGTGTTCCTTCTACCCTCAAAAATTGGGCACAAGGTGTTCCCTCTGCCGGGAAGTTCTTCCCACTCCCACCCAAAAGTCCTCTCACGTCCTCCTTTCCTTGCCAAAGACTACTCATTTCTTAGGTCTCCTTCTCTTCGTGCCTCACGTATTCACTCACTCATTCAGCAAATGTTTGTTGAGTCCCATCTATGGGCCAGGCGTTGTGCTAGGGGCTGGCAAGTGACAGCAAAGATGGTAGGACAATAGACAGGCTCTTTGTCCTTGTGGAGCTTTTAGTCTAGTCAGGATGACAGACTGTCTAAAATAACCAAAATAAGAGTAAATTGTGATAGCATCTTAAATCAGGGCTCTGAGCTGTACCAGAGAATAATCGCAGGTGGGGAGAAGATTCTCAGAGGATATGACATTTTCATCGAGACCCTGCAGGAAGGAAGGAGCCACATATGTGAAGAAGATGAAAAAGGGCACTGGAGAGCACTTGTCACAGCACTAATTAAACTTGTCCCTGTGATGACATATTTAGTTAATATCTGTAAAGTCCATGAGGGCAGGGACCCTGTCTATCTTGTCTTATCTTCTCATAGCACAGAAACTGGCACATAATCAATGCTCAGTAAATTCTTGTTAGTGGATGAATAAGTAAATTTTTTGAAGTCTAAAAATTAGAACAATTGCTGTAGAATAATTATGAAAGGAAAAATAACTAGTAAGTATTAATTATGATTTATTTTGGCTTATAAAGATAATTTTATCTAAAGGTTTTAAACCTTCTAAGTACAACCTGTAAAGTACAAATAGTCTTCTCAAGAATGTGTTGACATTCTATGAATTCTCAGAATGTCTTAGTGAAGCAACTACTCGTTGATTCTCATCTTCCATGTCCAAGTTCCTACTAGTTATTAAATTATTTACTAAACTAAGCCTCACTGAGGCCATTCCTTCCGTTCGTGCTCCAGGTTCTCTCTTGGCTGTTCCAACGAGGAGCACATCAGCTCACACTGCACAGTGAGTTCATACTTCAAGTATCCGCCTACACTAGTCCAAACAGATAGCATTTATAGACATGATGTAAAAACCGAAAAGGCATAGATCATGTTGTAAAGCCAGACAAGCATCCCTATGGGAAGGAGGGAAATACAGAACAGTAGGTTGGAACTGGCCCTGCAGGCCTACAGTCTGGGCTCAGAGGCAGGCATAGGCAGCTGGGAGTTCCATTCTGGTGGGTACCAGGAATAAACGTACCCCATGTGAGACAGGGGTCAGGGTGGCCTCATTATTTCAAACCAGGAAATGAGGTAAGGATGGATGAAACGCAGGATAATGGAATGAGGGAAGATGTAGACATAGACTCGAAGCCAGGACCTGGCAAAGCCACCTTTGACTAGGTGACTGGACCTTGGGTATCCCCAGTATGACCAAGGGTAGGAGGCCTGAGCTACAGATATAAGACTTGGCTCTGAGTTGGGAGCTGAGTGGAGGAAATCACAAGATTACTAGATAAGGGGGCAGAAGTGGAACAGGAGGTAAGGATGAGGAGGATAAACAGAAGGAAAACCTACCTTTTAAGATGAACCTGGAAGCTGGAATTCCAAAACACATGTGGAAGAGGATAATTACTGAGTAAAACACGGCCCACAGAATCTACTATAGGAACCTGGATTCTCTCAACAGGGTACAAAAATAACAGAGCAATCTGAAACTCGTGTTAATATAAATGTCTTAGAGTCCCAAAGAGATAAAGGAATGCCCTCATAAGAGGTGACAAGATATTATAAAATTTAAAAATTGGTAGAAATAAAGGAAGAACAATGGTATATTTTTAAAAATCCGTTTAGATTCCTAAAAATGAAAAATACAGTCGTTAAAATAAATGCATTAAGTAGAATAAATTCTATGCTGGACACAGTCAATAGAGAAGTGATAAATTGGAAGATAAGTAATGAGGAAATGACTGCTATATATCCCTATATATACACACATATGTATGATATGTGCATATGATATATGCACATGATATATACACATATATGATTTTTAAACTGGGCAGGAAGAATATGCACTTTGTTTCAAGATAGTCCTTACCCTTCTAGAGAGAGAAGAGACAATGGTACAAAGGCAGCATCAACTATACCCATAATATCTTAATATTTAAAATATTTAAAGCAAATGTGACAAAATTTCTCTGTACTTCCCCAGTGTTTGAAAATTTAAAGGACTTGCCTTATTATAGTCAGTACTACAGATAACCATTTACTTTAAAACTGAGACCAGATATAAAACACAACACCACGTCCTTAATTTGTAAAGAAGATAGGCTGGTAAATACGTTTTAAAAAATCAGTTATATGGTGTGGACATGGTTTTCAGCAAAGAAAGCCCTAGTCCCTATATCTACTTAGGGCTGTGATAAAGGGAACAGACTTGAGTTGCAGCCAAAGAGATTTAGCTTAGACATGAGAAATAACTTCATATCTCTGCAAGATGTTCAAGATTGCCTGGGGATTTTGAGAACAAGAGCTTTGCTGAAACAGCTTAGATCCTAGCCTGCTTGGAACTAGAAGGGATTATCGATGTCATAGATGTCCTTTGAAATTTGAGATTCTGTCTGCCAACTCTATAGATCTGAAGATCTTAACTGATCTACTCAGAATCTACAGCAAGGAAGAAAGGACAAAGAGGAAGAGAACAAGAAATCTTGGCCATCAGTCCTCATAAGAGCTTTTCCTAACATGAGAAGCTAGTGGAGCAGGACGGAGGCGACCAAGGCTCTGGGGGCGCCAGTGAAGCAGGGTACGACACTGCTCCACCTCTATTCCAGGCTACTTCTCTCCATCATCAACAAGCATTTGTAGAGGATCTTTCACATTCCACACTGTGCAAGGTGCTCTGCAGAATGAATATGGGAAAGGATAACATCATTGCTTATTCTTAAAAAGTGTACAATCAAATTTGAAAAGGTCCATGCATGTGAAATAATTAGAAAAACATAACACAGCAATTGATAATCAAGGCCAAGCACTTCAGTAGTAAAGACTGTGGACTGGGCTCACTGGTAATGAAGAGGGGTTTATGAGGAGTCTTGGGGGATGGATGGAACTTGAACAGTCAGAGAAGGGTTGAGGGCATTTCAGATGTCTGCTAAAGGTGGGCTAAAGCCTGAGGGAGGAATATTCCTAAATATCAGAGAATGTTGTTAAACAGAGGGTCTGGCTATAGTGCAGATGTTTTGGAGAGCACGGGAGGTGGTGAAGTGAAATAGTTGATTAGTGGTGTGTGGTCACAGGATGCTCTGAAAATCAGCCAGAGAATCCTAGACTTGAGGAGGGAGTGGGGGGAGAAGCCAGTGTGTGTCCTTGAGCAGTCAGGGGTGTATATTGAAAACCATGCTTCCAAGATTCGCTCGGCAGCAGTCTTCACAATTAAATATGTCACACGGATTAGGTATACAACAAAAGTCTGCATGCATTTTCTGCTTCTGTTTTCTGTTAAAATACATAAATTTTGTTGTTGTTGTTAAATGACCACTCAGTTACTTTAGAACACACTTATGCTAAGAAGCCCAGGTATAAATGGACTGACCTTATCATCAGTCAGACAACATCTGCTGAGCCTTAACCTGGAGTTTAGAGCCCTTTCCCAATGGTTTGTCCTTCTTTAGATTTTCACTGCCTCTAAGCACTATTTCTCAGAAAATAGCAGTAATTGTACTAACAACTAATTTGGCAGATATGAAAAATTCAGACTTCTTAAATACAGAATTTCAACAACGTTATTCCAAATCCCCAACGTAACGCGTGTATAATGCTCCCGGGCCATTGGGAAAGGGCATTAGGGTTACGCTGGAAGGCACAGTGTGTCAGAGCCTCAGGCGGAGCCCTGAACTGAGAGCAGGGACATGGGTTCAGTCCCAGCTCAGGGTCTCGTCAGTTGTTTTCCTGAGTCCGGCCCCTTCCTCAGTCCAGATTTCATCTAAAATTGAGGGGGGTGAAGATGGAAAAACTAAAAAAGTAGGTTTTAGCTCAAATGTATAAAAATACATTTATTTATTTAACAGGGGTTCTAGTTTGAGCCTAGCCTGACATATTTTTAGGGCATAACCGAACACACTTGGCAGGTGGGTAGTTGCATGAGGATAGAATTCTCTAGGGAGACGAACTCATTCTTAGAGAGCTAAGCCCATGCTTGGTTCAAAACCAGGTCTCTAGCACTAGAGAATGGAGACAGTACAGAGTACATGCTCTACTATTTAGAGCCTCTTGGCCCAGGCCCCATGAACTAGTGGTTGAATTCTAGGAAAAATTCAGAGACATTGAAGTACAAATTACTCACAAGACCGCTTAAATCAGTTGAGTATTTTCAACTGCAGGGAATTAAAATCCCTGACTCAGGCTGGCACGAACTATAAGAACATTTAACTGTATAACCAGATTCCAAAGGTAGAGCAGCCTTAGCTTCATCCTAAGACTGGCTCTCTTCGTGCTCACAATTTGGCTGCCAGTGGCAATGGGAGCTACATGCTTCCTGGTTTACATGGAAGCATGAAATAGAAGTCCTTCTTTTTTTCCTGCCTATACCATCTCAGATTACATGCCCATCCCTGGCCTAATGACAGTGGCTGGGTGACTGCCATTGACTTAAATGAATCCGGTTCTATCCTTGGAGATCTAGGTGGTCATCAAATCCCTTGGGATGTATAGAAGAGGGATAAGTTTCTGAAAAGCATTTTGGTTCTGTAAGGTACTAATGAATATTCTGCAGGCAGTGAACATCTTCCATGACTCTGATCCAGTATCTGGGGAGGCGGGGAACAGAGAACAACTCCTAGTGGTTGAAAACACTTACAGTTAGGGCACCAGAACACTGGGCTGTTGACAAGTATGGGTGTCTCTGATAGCTTTATAAGACTTGAAAGGCCATTTGTTCCTCAAATGTCCACAATGTAGTTTTGGTAATTTTGGTAATTTCATATTCTTTAATATGAAATGGGTTTCTCACTCACTGCTACTGACTTGGGCGGAAATGACGTGTTCCATGCAGCTGGAAGGAAGTTGCCTACAAGAAGTTATCAACTATGTGTGAGGATTGGAGACTATACCAAAATGTACAAATGATGGCTGGGATTTGGGATGAGTGAAAATTCAAGAAATGCATTTGGACAGGCCTCTGGGGATTTGGTTAAAGCAAAGAATGGAAGATATTTATAGCAATGGTTTTTCCTTGATGCATGGTATAATTATACTTTGAATCACGAATCCAGCTTATTTCTTGATAGGTGTGTTTGAACTGCAGAAATTCCAGCTCAGCTCTTACCTCTGCTAATGGCATCATTTTAATGTTAGTGCCTATTGTTATATGCCTCCTTTCTTTACCAATAAGACCTCCTTGAGCTTATGAGAGGAGCTGTGTTCCGTACTTCTTTCAAAGCATCTACTTTGCATGTAAACAGAGAGCCTGGCTGTGGCGTAACTGAATTTCTATGCACAGAAGTGTGGTTTCCTGATAAAGAAAATGAAACCCTGTCTCCGAGTCCTTATGAGTCCAACATGCATGCTAACTTTTTTTTTTAACTGTACCTCAGACTCACACTGAACAATCCTATTCTATTCCAAAGGAAAAAAAGAGTTAAACTTATGTTACATGCCTGTAAGGCATTTTAAAGTTAATCGGGCCCTTTGGGTCTAATTTAATTTGTGTAAGATTGCTGTTGATGATTAGAATAGCTATTTAAGATTTTTGTTAACAGTCTATTACGTGGACTTAATGGAAACACTCCAAAGGCAGTCTGTTCACTTTCCCCTGTCAAATTCAGGTTACAGAGACTTCACAGATGTTGTAAGTAGACATCAATATGAAAAGGGGATAGAACACAAATTAAAATCATAAGTGTACTTAAACTGCCAACTTTGAGCTTTGGTTAAAAACATCTGTCACATAAAAGCAAACATTCAGAGCTATTGTGTCTTGTAACAATTGTCTTTATTTTTCATATCTTTGGCATTTTCATCATTTTATGTTACTGCTCCCTTTGGAATTTTTTGTATGAATGCTGGCTTTCTATAATATCACTGCTTTCTCTACACAAACCGCGTTTGTAAGGCTTTTGTACCAATACTATAAAGTGAGTAGATCCCAAGTATGGCTGGGATCCCAGATGGTCTCAAAGAACCCACAAAGTCCACTGACTATTGCAAAGCACTTGAAGAAAGTGGGTGTATTTAGCTTGTTCAGGCCCATATTAAACCAAACTAGCACTTTGATTTCCCCTACGAGGTTGTTTTTCGTCAATTAAATTTTTACACTTAACATTCTTACAGACATAAAATGACCATGAGTAACACTTTGGTCCAGTTCTTCCTTTAGTATAATCTAGGAAATTTCAGGATGTTCTTGAGCTGTCTCCTGTTACTTGTTATCATCATTTTTTTTTTTCAGATTTAAGATTTCATTGCTCATATTCCTTTGTTCCATAGCTTTAATTTTTTTATGCCTTTATTCTGTTTCCATTTTCTGTTATTCAGCCTTTGTGTTTCAAAACCACAGCCCTTCTAACTCATCTTTCTGTTCCTGCTTTCCTCTTCCATCTCCTTGACTTTCTTTTCCCTCCTTTATTCTTTTTCCTTTTATAGAATGAGAGACGCTTTGAGGGGATGGTAAGTGTCCTGTGAATGGCAGCTGAGCATCCACTCACCATCAGGAAGAGCAGGAGACAGGGAGCGCATCCCCAGCGCCACATTCCACTGCCCAGGAACACTCCTTGCTTCTCCAGCGGTTGGTGAGGACCGGGACTATACAGGGCAGCACAGACGCTGAAGCTGCAGGCAAACATTTTGAAAATAATCAGGTCACTCACTGAGTGGGAAGGGGTTGTACCCAAATGCTAACATGTATTTATTCTTGATTTAACCTTAGTGATGATAGGTTATGATACTGCAGTTTATACATTATAATCAGTCAGGTGTATCTGCTCTAACAATTAAGCACTTACGTGGAAAGCATGATCTTGATAGGCATTTGGCTGCAGGTTCACCATACAGTACTCTTATCCTAAAATGACTTTTTAAAGTGTATTTGTTCATAAAGTGGAACATAAGATTTAGATTAAACCCATTCCTTATTTTAGAAAAGGAATCTCTACTTTATAGTGTTTTATTAAATGGGTAATTGACATTAAGAAAAGGGATTTAAAAAACGAATAGAAAATGTTGTGGATCGTCCACCCCTCCCACAAGCCCAGCTGCATCTACTCTCTTCCTGATCGCCCCAGGCTGCTCACCAGAGTCTCCTTCCTTACACTGTCATTTGCACCATCTGTGAGATTATTTCAACTCTCACTTCTTTTTCATTCAGAATGAAATGTCTTTTATAGTAAAGCTGAGAATATGTTCAATCTCATGAATGCTGACACTCAAATACAAATGCAGTCACATTCCCCCTATAACTACTTACATAATTTTATTTTTTTTAACATCCTTATTGGAGTATAATTGCTTTACAATTTTGTATTAGTTTCTGCTCTATAACAAAGTAAATCAGCTATATGTATACATACATCCCCATATCCCCTTCCCCCTTGTGTCTCCCTCCCACCCTCCCTACCCCACCCCTCTAGGTGGTCACAGAGCACGGAGCTGATCTCCCTGTGCTATGCGGCTGCTTCCCACTAGCTATCTGTTTTACATTTGGTAGTGTACATACGTCCATGCCACTCTCTCACTTTGTCCCAACTTACCCTTCCCCCTCCCTGTGTCCTCAAGTTCATTCCATACATCTGCATCTTTATTCCTGTCCTGCCCCTATGTTCATCAGAACCATATATATGTTTTTAGATTCCATATATATGTGTTAGCATATGGTATTTGTTTTTCTCTTCTGACTTACTTCACCCAGTATGACAGACTCTAGGTCCATCCACCTCACTACAAATAACTCAATTTCATCTCTTTTTATGGCTGTGTAATATTCCGTTGTATATATGTGCCACATCTTCTTTAACTATTCATCTGTTGATGGACACTTAGGTTGCTCCCATGTCCTGGCTATTGTAAATAGTGCTGCAGTGAACATTGTGGTACATGTCTCTTTTTCAATTATGGTTTTCTCAGGGTATATGCCCAGTAGTGGGATTGCTGGGTCATATGGTAGTTCTATTTTTAGTTTTTTAAGGAACCTCCACACTCTTCACCATAATGGCTGTATTAATTTACATTCCCACCAACAGTGCAAAAGGGTTCCCTTTTCTCCACACCCTCTCCAGCATTTACTGTTTGAAGATTTTTGGATGATGGCCATTCTGACCAGTGTGGGTTGATACCTCATTGTAGTTTTGATTTGCATTTCTCTAATGAATAGTAATGTTGAGTATCCTTCCATGTGTTTGTTGGCAATCTGTATGTCTTCTTTGGAGAAATATCTACTTAGGTCTTCTGCCTATTTTTGGATTGGGTTGTTTGTTTTTTTGATATTGAGCTGCATGAGCTGCTTGTATATTTTGGAGACCAATCCTTTGTCAGTTGCTTCGTTTGCAAATATCTTCTCCCATTCTGAGGGTTGTCTTTTCGCCTTATGTTTACCTTTGCTGTGCAAAAGCTTTGAAGTTTCATTAGGTCCCATTTGTTTATTTTTGTCTTAATTTCCATTTCTCTAGGAGGTGGGTCAAAAAGGATCTTGCTGTGATTTATGTCACAGAGTGTCCTGCCTATGTTTTCCTCTAAGAGTTTTATAGTGTCTGGCCTTACATTTAGGTCTTTAATCCATTTTGAGTTTATTTTTGTGTACGGTGTTAGGGAGTGTTCTAATTTCATTCTTTTACATGTTGCTGTCCAGTTTTCCCAGCACCACTTATTGAAGAGACTGTCTTTTCTCCATTGTATATTCTTACCTCTTTTATCAAAGATAAGGTGACCACATGTGCGTGGGTTTATCTCTGAGCTTTCTATCCTGTTCCATTGATCTATATTTCTGTTTTTGTGCCAGTACCATACTGTCTTGATAACTGTACCTTTGTAGTATAGTCTGAAGTCTGGGAGCCTGATTCCTCCAGCTCCATTTTTCTTTCTCAAGATTGCTTTTGTTATTCAGGGTTTTTTGTGTTTCCATACAAATTGTGCAATTTTTTGTTCTAATTCTGTGAAAAATGCCATTGGTAGTTTGATACGGATTGCATTGAATTTGTAGATTGCTTTGGGTAGTATAGTCATTTTCACAATGTTGATTTTTCCAATCCAAAAACATGGTATATCTCTCCATCTGTTTGTATCATCTTTAATTTCTTTCATCAGTGTCTCATAGTTTTCTGCATACAGGTCTTTTGTCTCATTAGGTAGTTTTATTCCTAGGTATTTTATTCTTTTTGTTGCAATGGTAAATGGGAGTGTTTCCTTAATTTCTCTTTCAGATTTTTCATTGTTAGTGTATAGGAATGCAAGAGATTTCTGTGCATTAATTTTGTATCTTTCTACTTTACCAAAGTCATTAATTAGCTCTAGTAGTTTTCTGGTGGCATCTTTAGGATTCTCTATGTATAGTATCATGTCATCTGCAAACAGTGACAGTTTTACTTCTTCTTTTCCAATTTGTGTTATTTATTTTTCTTCTCTGATTGCCGTGGCTAGGACTTCCAAAACTATGTTGAATAATAGTGGTGAGAGTAGACATCCTTGTCTTGTTCCTGATCTTAGAGGAAATGGTTTCAGTTTTTCACCATTGAGAATGATGTTTGCTGTGGGTTTGTCATATATGGCCTTTATTATGTTGAGGTAGGTTCCCTCTATGCCCACTTTCTGGAGAGTATTTTTCATAAATGGGTGTTGAATTTTGTCAAAAGCTTTTCTGCCTCTATTGAGATGATCATATGGTTTTTATTCCTTAATTTGTTAATGTGGTGTATCACATTGATTGATTTGCATATATTGAAGAATCCTGGCATCCTTGGGATAAATCCCACTTGATCATGGTGTATGATCATTTTAATGTGTTGTTGGATTCTGTTTGCTAGTATTTTGTTCAGGATTTTTGCATCTATGTTCATCAGTGATACTGGCCTATAATTTTCTTTTTCCGTGATATCTTTTTCTGGTTTTGGTATCAGGGTGATGGTGGCCTCGTTGAATGAATTTGGGAGTGTTCCTTACTCTGGATTTTTTTGGAAGAGTTTGAGAAGGATCAGTGTTAGCTCTTCTCTAAATGTTTGATAGAATTCACCTGTGAAGTCTTCTGGTCCTGGACTTTTGTTTGTTGGAAGATTTTAAATTGCGGTTTCAATTTCATTACTTGTGATAGGTCTGTTTATATTTTCTAATTCTTCCTAGTTCAGTCTTGGAAATTGTACCTTTCCAAGAATTTGTCCATTTCTTCATGGTTGTCCATTTTATTGGCATAGAGTTGTTTGTAGTTGTCTCTTATAATCCTTTGTATTTCTGCAGTGTCAGTTGTGACTTCTCCTTTTTCATTTCTAATTTTACTTGTGTTCTCTCCCTTTTTTTCTTGATGAGTCTGGGTAAGGTTTTATCAATTTTGTTTATCTTCTCAAAGAACCAGCTTTTAGTTTTATTGATCTTTGCTATTGTTTTCTTTGTTTCTACTTCATTTATTTCTGCTCTGATCTTTATGATTTCTTTCCTTCTATTGAATTTGGGTTTTCTTTGTTCTTCTTTCTCTAGTTGTTTTAAGTGTAGGCTTAGATTGTTTATTTGAGATTTTTCTTGTTTCTTGAGGTGAGATTGAATTGCTATAAACTTCCTTCTTAGAACTGCTTTTGCTTCATCCCATAGGTTTTGGGTCGTCATGTTTTCATTTGTTTCTATGTATTTTTTTATTTAAAGTGGCAGAATACACTTTCTTCTCAAGTGCACAGGGAACATTCTCCAGGACAGATCACATCTTGGGTCACATATCAAGCCTCAGAAAATTTAAGAAAATTGCAATTGGGTCAAGCATCTTTTCTGACCACAACGTTATGAGATTGGAAATCAATTATAGGAAAAAAACTGTATAAAACACAAATACGTGGAGCCTAAGCAGTGCACTACTAAATAACCAAGAGATCCCTGAAGAAATTAAAGAAGAAATACAACTTACTTTGATATACATCATATTCTAAAGATTTATGTAGGTTGATTTGTGTCCAGTGCCTTCATCCTAACTGCTACATGGTTTTCTATTCTATGTAAACCACTCTGTTTACACGTTGAGTTGAGCTAGTCCTTAGATGCAGTTACAAAAGTGTTGCAATGAATGCCTGTGTCTTTGGCCGTTTTGCACATGTTGGAGAGGTTCTTTAGGATCTATACCTAGATGTGGAACTGCCTTGTTGTAGGTTATGTGGACCTTCAAATTTATTAAGCAATATTAAATTTTTCAAAGTGATTGTAGCAATTTACTCTCTAGCCAATGATTTTTTAAAAGTTCTTTTTCTCTCACGTCCTTAACAACATTCTGTGTGGTCATAGTCAAATATATTCTTTGCCAAAACCAATGAGTAAAAAGGGCGATCTCAATGTTTCTTTATTTTTAATTTCTCTGGGTACTGGTGAGATTAACCATGTTTTCACATGTTTATTGGTTATTCAAATTTATTCCTCTGTAAATTGCCTATTCACATTCTTTGCCCATTTTTTCTATTGGGTTATCACTTTTTCTCATTGATTTGTTGGAATTCTTTACACAGTAGTAATTGTCTGCTGTGTGCTATGCAAATATCCTAGTGTGTGCCTTGCTTTTTTACTTTGTATGTCGTATTGTGTGGATTTTCTTAAAATTTAAGATATTTAAGCTTATTATCTTTTTTATGGTTTATGTTCTTGAATTTTATATA